CACGAACCGCCTTCATATCCGTAAAGAAATAAAAGTGGCGATTAGCGTTGTTCGTAAGAATAGAAACGAGATTCAAGTGCCGAATGAGATAGCGGCGCGAGCGCGGCGAGTAACCTTTTTTTTCGTACTCTCGCAGATATTCGTCACAAAATATGAATGAAACGATTGATGGATTCCCGCGCGGGCGTTGCGTCTGCGGAACATTAAATCGCCATCGCTCGAGAAAATGTAGCAGAGGGAACGTCGTTACATTAGGGAACCCATAATCATAACGTTTTCTACGTATATACCGTATGATGAGAGAAGAAGAATCCCCTGATACATTGTTTTATAATAAACACTAATTAATTTTATATAATTTTCTCTGTTACTATTTAAATATATATTTATCAAATCAAATCTCTGCATACTTATAGTAAATCCTTCCCTAGAAATAACTGTTCTTCGCGAGTAAAGAGGTGAACCGTTTTCTCAAAGTTTCAATCGATAACCGAGTGACATTTCCGGATTCGATTGTTCTTATCGCGCGCAGTAGAGGATTGCTACTTGTTGTTGTTAGTAGTTTAACATACTACACTTCCGGTCGTAATCTTGAACTTAGCATACAGTCATTCTTCCCCTAACTTGTGATAAAATGCAGCGCGATACAGAGCCGACTTCGTGATAATATTTCCACGTTTTCGAAGAAGAGAAGCAATTGCGACCTATATTCCCGAGGAATTACGCGTCTGGGATATCATTCCGATAAGAATTTTTTATCTCTCACGTACGATATGGTGCCGCGGTGTGTCTCTACGTGTAAACGAAGTCTCGATCTCGATCTGGAAAGATTGTACATCGAGCACGTCATCTCGGTTACATCAACAATGAGGAATTCCTCATCGCCGATGATGAAAAACGGGATGAAACGGGCTGCGGTTCCTATACTTTTTACCGTGAGACCTAAGTGTTTTCGTACGGCGGCATGGTGTTTGCTTAAGATCGTCCATTCGGTAAAGACTCCCAAGCCTCCAATCCATCCGAGCAGACGAGTTCATCTTCCCCTCAGAAAATGCAGGCGGATAATAATCTATAATTATCTCCGGCGTAACAGAAGGAACGACGCGCCTCGCGTTTGATGCTCCGTAAATAGTTGTTAAAGATGGCGACGGAACCGGATCGGAAGAGCCGATCGACATGGAAAGTTCTCAATATGCAATCGATAGGGTTGTCAATCGAACAAAAGTGCAGAAGGGAATATCATTTTCATACGAAAAAGCGATCTTTCCTCAATGTACATTAATAGTTATACATTCCGTTATATATTATAAGGGAATTATCCTTGGATATGGGTACCCTTGAATGAGTCGTATCCTGATTACAGGCTATTGTGAACCCCGCCGTTCGTTATCGTACGGGTCTTCTTCTGCGGTGAGGAGATTCGACGAAGACATTACCTCGTTTCTTTTCTACATCTCTTCCTCGTGTCTTCTTCCCTCTGCGCGTCGCCGTCATGCGGGCGAGGCGGCACGTAACAATTAACGCAAACACACAATTTTTATTGTGTACTCTTCATCCCGCCTTCCGCGAGCGGGAGAATCGGAGCAGGAAGAGAAAAGGCAATGTCGGACGTGAATTCTACATTCGCGGAAACGATGTTAGACGAACGTTTTTATTCTCACGCGTATAATTGTGCGTATAATCAACCTGCTGGATGGCCCGCGAGGAACCCGAGATTAAGCCTGATTACGCGAGTGGCGAAGTAATGACCAATGATTCTCGAGTAAATGCCCGTGTAATTGCAAGTCTGAGGCGGCGCGGCCACTTATAGAGTTAATCAGGATATATAACCATAAGAGAAAGATATCTCTGCTGAATATCTCTATTATTGCTGTCGCATGATGGACGGCTGAACTACAAGAATCTCATCCGAACGGCTCATTCTGGACGGTTGCGTCCAGATTCTGGACGGTTGCGGTTTTTATTAACGGGCGAATTTTGGCTTTAGCGTGTTTTAGCCATTTCCTGCTGCGCGTAACGTAGTTCGAAAGTATTTTTCAATTAAATTGTTGATAGATATTTGGGAATGAAATATTTGAAAGCACATTGGAACAAGCAGGAAAGTTCGCAGCTATACGACCTTGGATTACGAGCACCTCCACGCGAACAACAGAGGTCCGCTACGTTGTAAATTCGACCTTCCTCGAGTCACCGATGCGAGAAACGCTCCTACCTTCGAGGGAAATTACAGGACAATGAACGTTTTCGAAATCTATGCACAGTCCTACCAATGTCGTGCCAAAGATGATTTCGTCACTTCCGATTATTATCTTCACGAGCGCAACTTATTTCCTCTCTAAGAAAATTAATCGAATATCGTAATTCCAATTGAAAAATACGAAAATGTTCAAATATTGTAAATAAATATCCGACGTTTGCGACAAAGACTAGAGACGACTGAAATGAAATTCCACGCGGCACTGCATCGAATAGTCCTTATACAATAAAAAGGTATGGCCTTGGTAAGGTTTTGGCCTGGATAATGAAATTTAGCTTATCGGAATCGTCTGACAACGCACCGTAAATCATAAAGAAACCGGAAACACGGCCTACTGCACCGGATATTGCAAGGGCCAGGACAGGTCGGGGACTGAAGGCGTAACGAAACATAGAATTCTTGCTCAAGACATAGCACATTATTTCAATATGATATTCAGTTAATTTTCTAATTTAATATTTATTAATCTCGGAAATTAAAAGATCAAAAAATGTAAAAACAGTTTGAAAGTAAAGAGCGAACAAGCGATGGCGTCCCTCTCACGTGTCTAGTGTTGCAGTGTTAATTGCGAAAAATATGAAATTCAAGTGTCGGTAATTGAGCCAAGGTTCTTTACAAACATACCGCCTAATCGTGACCGAGGGATATAAAAAAAAAAAAACTATGCGTAGACCGGCAGCGAGCTCGATTAAGTGGATCCGCTATGGCTACCGCCGCTCGTTTAGTTTTTCACTGCGCATTGTGAGCGTGGTTGCAATATGTGTGACATCACGGTATGCGGGGTTCTCACAGAGAATCCTCGGTTCCAGCGACAAAAACTGCGGTATATACATACAGTATCTTGCGCTTCGAAAACGGGGGAGGGGATCCTCTCTTGTCCCTGCTTTCTATTACTTCCCACAATAAAAAGAGGATACTCTTCTTGTTGCGATAAAGATACTTTCAGAATTTATAACGCCACGAATATCCCATAATTAAAAGTTTAATTCCAAACAGTTTGTGTTCGTATAAAATATTGTGTTCAACATCGCGTGGATACTCAATCGGATTAAATTAGTAATTAATAAGTCGTTGCAATTATAATTGAAATGTTAATCGAATATATCTACATTTCGTACACTATTAAAAAAATATTTATGTATAATTATATATAGAAATGCACACGGACCGGTATCTCGGACGGACTAACGGAAGCGGCTATACATTCCGCGACGACCTTTGCAACCCGCGTGCGAAACGGGTCAGACGAGCGTAAATACAATGAAAAGTCTTCGCCGCGTAGGCATCGAGGAGAATCGCGCGTGTAATATCTGGAGCTCCGAGTGGAAACGAGGATAATGTGGACGTTTGCGCGAGTAACAGAGTAAAAATTTTAAATACGTCGACCTTGATCGTAATCAGGCGTATAAAATGCAAAAATGTTTAATTGCCCTAGAAAATTCCTGCACTTTGCTTGCGGTTACAAACGATTGCATTATTTTATCCTCATGGAAAATATCCACGAAGACTGCATTATTTTATCCTCATGGAAAATAACCACGAGAGATCATTCTCTTTTAGATAAATCTGTTTTCTCAAGTTACTCCCAATAAAAAAATCGTTATTTTGCGTTAAAAAGAAAAATCGATTTAAGAAGCAGAAACATAACAATCTTTAAGAGTGTATGGTACTTCTCGGGCGGGAAAGAAGGCGAAATTTCGAATGACAGTAAGCATGTGTTCAGCGATCTGTGCAGATGGTGAAGAAAAATATGCCCTTCCCAAAACGCTCCCCTTCCCGGGATGAGGACGCTCTAGAGACTCATGTTTCTGTTCGCGCAAAAAGGGACGCGAAACCGCACGAAGCCGTGAGAAATTACGCTGTCATTGGTCCCAGCCGCAAAAGTTACAAATATTCGAAATATTCGACTTGACAGTGCAGCTGCCATTATTTTAATAATATTAACCGTTAGAGTTATTTTAATAATACTAACCGCTAGAGTCTTTTTTGTACAAAAATACAATAAAATTATTTGTTAATATTTTACTACGTTAGGAGTATTTCATTGCTATCATTATTGATCTATTTATTTAATCTATTGCCTCATTATTACATTCAAAACGAAGATGCGACATTTTGTAAATTATGGCTTAATCATAGAAATAATTATGGATTAAATATGATGCGGATCCATCAGGCGCCGTCAGGCAAACACACGTGGTCCAGCTGTTAATAAGCGTTCAGAAAACATACTGCTCTTATTTTCGCTAAACCGCTTTACGTCACTTAGCAGACCGCCCGGGAATGCTGTTTTGTTCTCCCCATTTGCCTTAGTGGAGCAACATCACTGTTTTTTTTTTTACACTCTCCCGCGTTGTTCTTAACAGTCTCCTGCAGGCGACATGAAACCGTCGCGCGTTACATTATAATAATAGCCCTATCATGCTTTCGCATTATACAGCAGTTAAATTATTGCGTTTACTATCAAATGGAAAAAGTATTTTAGAATAATCTTCACATAGGTATTTATCAAAACTTCTCTCACAAGCAATTTGTTGTGACATAAATAAATAAGAATAAATAATAGGAAATAAATTTGTTGAGAATATCGATTGGGAAGCTTGCTCGTGAACGGCATAGAGTGCTGGGGGTCTGGTGGAATCCCCGGTTTCCGTTTTCGGATTAACGATTCTACGGAAGTCTCCGCCATAAACAAGCGAGTGTGTCCTGCAAATGTGTGGGAAAATAATCACAGGGTACTCACCTGTTGTGGCGCGGTATCAGCCGGGGAGAAGCTCGACAGGGCGGTTAAGGGTGCTAGCGACGCGCATGAGGACGCTCTCGAGGGCGGCGGTGTGTGACCAGGGGTAGGACTTCCGCTTCCGCAGCTACTCGCGCCGCCGCTGGAAGAGAGGCTCACGCTGTCCGCCCGCCCTCTCCACGGCGAGATCGACACGTGCTTCAACATTCCTCCTGGTTCTTATCTGGAATCACAGGATCCATCGATCGTTCGCCATTAAATCGCGAGCGTTGAACTGGGGGAGGGAGGAGGGAGAGCAGTGCAACCAGTAGTACGGCTACCGAACCGACTATAAATTCGATCGATTCGTTCTGACGGATCGGCGCAATGGCGATAACAGAGTTCTCAATTCTCTCATTTCATCGCGCGCGTGCGCGCGCGGATGTTCCTTTCACCTCTTTATCTATATAATTATATGTTCTTGAAGAATCGATTTGCGCTAAAAGATCCGCATAGAAAATCAGCGAAGTAATAGAAGATTTTAATCGATATACAAAGCGATATGTATATAAAGATTAATATAAGATTTATAATATAAGAAGGCCGCGATAAGTAATAATCTCACGACCTACTGCAGGTTTAAATGCAAGACTACTTTTGAGAGGGACATTATACAAGCAACACAAGTGAAATTGTCGCTCCGAGTTTCACTCGGCGTGGGCTTCCGCCAATGTAATGTAACTCTTAAGAGTATTTACTGGAAGTCGCATAGAACAGCCTGCATTTCAATTAATCTCTTTGTGCGTTTCCTCTCGCAAGGTCGCAAGAAAAAACTGTAATTGGCGCGGCGGCCTTTCGATAAGTAGTGTCCAACTACTGTGATTGCCGGGCTGAACAAACGTGGAAAGTGGCGGGAAGCCCGCTCCTGGAAAAACCGGACGCTCCCAACGGTACACTTTAAGAGCGTCCGTGTAATTTGACGTCGGAGTGAAACCAGGCGATCGCGATGTCCGAAACGCCCGACGTCCACGCACGCCTACCTCGTGGAAAGCAGGAAAAGCCTACGCGCTCGGGTAAACGTAAAACATCAAAAGTCAGTCGCGGATACGGAAACCAGAAGCTCAAAGATCGTATGTGCAAAGTAAACGGATGCTTATCCGTTTATCTACGGGAAGTTTCGGTGAGGAAATTTATATGTAAAAATAGTTTCTTCCTTTGCCTTTGTCATTGCGCATTGTATTTGTATCATTGTATAATATTATATTATTCATATAATTATTTTATATATGTATATTTCTTTAAAGATTCTTGTATACAAAAATAATAAGTAAAACTAACAATTTTGTTATATTCTTTAGACATTCTAATAAATAATAAAAAATTCTACACGCGTTTTTTTAATGGTAATTCAAGATAGATGTCATGTTGCATAGCTCTGGAGTACAATGTATATATTAATTATGCGCTGCGAAATTTTCCGTTTAGAATTGTAATAGGAAATATGCTTAGTGCTTCCTGCGATGTATCATCGGTGAACCGATGTGTTGCGGTCACGTGCATCCGAAGGACGCATCGGCATATCATTACAGGCGCTGAGGGGCGCGAATTAAAGAAGCTTCGTATGCACATTTTTTATTTTTAAAGAGAGGAAAAATGAAGCGATACGTCGTGAATATCAAATATAAATTTTTTTTATCCTACTTTTAATATTATATACTCACTTTAGTTAAATTCGCAGCTGAGCGACCTGCGCACTCGCGATAGCCCGCGCGTCAATACGCGCCAAACATTCAAAGTTGACGAATGTGCGGCATCGAGATCATCCAAGTTCACTGCGTCTTGAATCAGACAGCAATTTACGCGCGACGGTCACAGCACACGAACGGAATTTACCACCAGTCACAATCGCGTTGCGTCGACAGAATGCACGAGGAGGGACTTCCGGCGCGCATTTCGGTATATAGGGTCTCGCGTAAAAAAATCGCCTCGCGCATTTCACACGAAGTGTTCCTCGAATGTTCGAAAAGGCATAATGTAACGTAAAGGTGTAACGTTCCTCGAAGATAATTCAACGGAGTTCGAGGTAAACTCGAGATACCAATTCGAAGCGCACGACAATGATTGCACCGCGGTACGCGCTCCGCGAGCGTTCTGTCGCGACTGGCGAACGCGCGAGTTAAACCGACATAGTAAGCCGCGCGCCAGCGAACGGACGAGGCAGAGGAAAGAGAACGACCTTCTTGTGTAGTATACGCGACTGTACGTACGCGCGTCCGTGTAGATGTGCGCCTTCGTGTGCGTGCGCCGTGGACTGCGGGGGCGATGACGGTACCCGCGTTTGCAGGAAGAAGGGCGTATATCCACGGAACCAGCCGTTCGCTCGAAGAGACAGGCCCTATTCTTGCTTAAGGATTCTTCCTTGTGTCGCGATGACGAGAAATGCCCACCTAGGATACCAAGCAAGAGATTAATGAGATTGTAAATTGCGTTAATTGTGTGTGTGTGTGTGTGCTGTCTCTTATACACATCTCTGAGCGGGCTGG